TAAATGGGTAAGAGATAATGTCTTTAACAAATGATGCTACCAAAAACAAACTCAATGTGAATTAGACCTAAATGTGAAATCTAAAATTATAAAGACCATCAATGAAAAAGTAGGGAAATTTTTAGGGGCTCTGACACAATTCATAAATACACTATCACACATAACTGACAACACATAACAGTAGAAGACAAAATAAATGACTGGGACTGCCTACAAATATGACACTTATGTGCATCAAAAGATTTCATTAAACGAATAAAAGAAAGAGCCCACACACTAAGTAAAAATTTTTGGCAATGACATATCAGATGAGGGACTACTCTCTAAAATTTATAGAACATTTCAATAGCTCAACAAAATGAAGATAAATAATCCAATTTTAAAAGGGTCAGAGGACATACACAGACACATCACCAAAGAAGTCATGAAGACAGCCAACAAACATAGCAGGAAATGTTCAAGATCATTGGCCATCATTGTTGTTAAGTGCTGTCAAATTGTTTCCAACTCATAGCAACCCTGTATAGGGTTTCTGAGGAAAAGCTAGTGGGTTTGAACTGCCAATCTCATGGTTCACAGTCCAGTGCTGGTCCACAGTGCCACATCAGAAGTCCCTTAGAGAAATGCGAATCAAAACAACAATGAGGTATCATCCCAACATTGATAACAAAGTTAGAAAAGAACAAATGTTGGCTAGTGACTGCAATCCTTCTACATTGTTGGTGGGACTGCAAAATGGTTCAACCAATGTGGAAAATATTATGACACTCCCTTAAAAAGTTGTAAATAGAAATACTGTATGGCCCAACAATCCCTCTACTTGGTATATATCTTCAAGAAATGAGAGCCATGACACAAATAGATATATGCATACCCGTGTTCATTGCAACACTATTAACAGTAGCAAAAAGATGGATACAGCCTAACTGTCCATCAACAGAGGAATGAATAAACAAAATTTGGTACATACATACAACGGAATACTACCCAGTGTTGAAGAATAATGATGAATCTGTGAAAACCCTCATAACATGGATGAACCTGAAAGACATTATGCTGAGTAAAATTAGTCAGTCACAGAAGGACAGCTATTATATGAGATCATTGTCGTAAAAAGTTTAGAAAAAAAAAAATTCTATGATGGAGACTGGGGTGGGAAGGACGGGAAAACTATTCACAAGGTTAAAGGTAGTCACATGTTAACTTGGATGACAGGGAAGGCAATATACAACAAGAGGGAGGTTGCCACAGGAAAGATGAAGGTAGTGGAAGTCACAGGGAGGAGTGTAAGAGTTAAAGTGAATAGAGGTAAATAAATACTGTTAACTGATAGTGCATGGAAGGGATTGTAATCATTGTAATGACACAAAGTATATGATTTGTTGAATGTGGAACTGATGATCTGTTCTGTAAATCTTCACTCAATTTACAATAAAAGGTTTTGAAAATGTACAAAGAGAACCTACAGACTGGGAAATAATTTTTGCAATGACAGATCAGACAAGGTACTGCTCTATAAAATTTATAGAAATTTTCAACACCTCTACAAGAAAATGACAAATAACTTAATTAAAAAGTGATACACAGGACATGAACATAAACTTTACCAAAGAAGACATTCAGGCAGTCAATAAACATATGGAGAAATCTTTGCCATTTCTTGTCTAATTAGTCATTAGACAAATGCAAATCAAAACAACAATGAGATATTATCTCATCACAGTACTTATAGCAAAGCTTAAAATAACAAACAAACAAACAGAAAACAGCAAGTGCTGGTGAGTGTATGGAGACACTGGGACCCTCCTACACTGCTAATGGGACTACAAAATGATGCAACCACTGTGGAAAATGGTATGGTGATCTTTCAAAAAGTTGGAAGTAGCAATACCATATGGTCCAGCAATCCTTCCACTTGGTACATATCCCCAAGAGCTATGACACGAGTAGATATATACACACTCAAGTTTATCACAGTACTATTCACAATAGCAAAAAGATAGAGACAGTCTAAATATCCATCAACAGAAGAATGAATAAACAAGATTTGGTTGTTGTTAGGTGCTGTTGAGTCAGCTTCGATTCATAGCAGTTCTATGCACAACAAAATATTGCCCAGTCCTGCACCATCTTCACAATTATTGTTACAGTTGAGTCCACTGAAGGTGCCACTGTGCCAATCCATCTCATTTGGGACTCTTCCTCTTGAACATTGACCCTCCACTTTACCAAGCATGATATCCTATTCAATCAGTGACTGGTTCCTCCTGATAATGTCCAAAATATGAGAGATGAAGTTTCACCACACTGGCTTCTAAGGAGCATTCTGGCTGTACTACTTCTAACGCAGATTTGTTTGTTCTTCTGACAGTCCATGGTCCTTTTACTATTCTTCTCCAACCACATAATTCAAATGCATCAATTCTTCTATAGTCTTCTTTATTCATTGTCCAACTTTTACATGTATATAAGACAATTGAAAATGTTATGGCTTGGGTCCTTAGTTCTCAAACTGTCATCTTTGTTCTTGAACATTTTAAAGAGGTCTTGTGCAGTAGATCTGCCTAATGCGATAATACATCATTTGATTTCTTGACTGTTGCTTCCATGAGTGTTGATAGTGGATCCAAGCAATTTGAAGTCTTTGACAACGTCAATCTTTTCTCCATTTATCATGATGTTATTTACAGGTCCAGTGGTGCAAATTTTTGTTTTCTTTACATTGAGGTACAACTCATACTGAAGGCTGTGGTCTTTGATCATTAGTATTTTAAATCCTCTTCACTTCCAGCAAGCAAGGTTATCATTTGCATATCGTAGATTGTTAATGATTCTTCTTCCAATCCTGATGTCACAGTCTTCTTGGTGGAGCACACAGGAGAAAAATGATGGAGATGAAAACTTCTTAGATATTACCAAACACCTTGAGCACTAAGTTGCTGAGACTGGGAGCTCAGAACCAGAGTCTCAGGGACACCATGGTCAGTTGACATAACACAGTCCACAAAGACAATGTTCTGCATCTTACTTTGGTAATTAGCAACTGAGATCTAAAAAGCTCATGAGCAGCCATCTAAGGTGCAACTATTGGTCTTTCCATGTGCAGGAAAAAGAAGAGTGATGAAAGAAAAGATGCTTGGGAGCAATGAGGCCAACTGACTAATGGAGCACATGAACATCAGTCTCCGTGACTCTGAGAACAGAACGAGATGGTGTCCTGCTCACTGATCTAAAAGGTATCACATTAGAAAGTCCTAGAGAAAGGAGAAAATGTGGAGCAAAATTTAAAATGACAAAAAAAAAAAAAGACCAGTCTTACTGGTTACAAAGAGACTGGAGGAATCCAAGACTAGGGCTTCCACCACCCTTCAGATCTGGAACAGAACTCACCTCCTTCACAGCCCAGTTTTCAGTAAGCCTCAGAACAGTATGTTGTTGTTGTTGTTGTTAAGTGCCGTTGAGTCTGTTCCGACCCGTAGCGACCCTGTATAGGGTTTCCAAGGAGTGGCTGGCTAGCTTGAACCACCAACGTTGCAGTTCAAAAGACCTTGCAGTCCAACATATTAACCCACAGTGCCACATCAGGGCTCCTCTGATAGGTATATATGGGAACAACACTAGTAAGGTATGTTGTTATTATGTGCTGTGGAGTTAGTTCTGACTCATAGCGACCCTGTACAGGGTTTCCAAGGCTGTAAATCTTTATGGGAGCAGAAAACCTCATCTTTCTTCCGTGGAACAGCTGGTAGATTCGAACTGCTGACTTTGAGGTTCGCAGCCCGATTCGTACCCACCATAGTAGAGCTCCTTCTAGTAAGGTATACTCACCATGGAATGGCCAATCATTGAAGACAAAAAGGACAAAGTTGAAAAGGGATGAGAATGAGAGTTGAATGGAAGTAGGAACCACAGGGAGGAAGTGGGATAACTTGTTACTTACATGGAGGGGATGATAATCATTGAAATGAAACAAACGGTATGCTTTGTTGGATGTAAAACTGATTATCTGCCTCGTAAACCTTAACTCAATTCTCAATAAAAATTTTAAAAAAAAAAAAAAAAAAAAAAAGGCTGAATAGTTTCTTTAGAAAAAAGAAAGAAAATCATAGATAAGTTTAAAACGGCATTTTCAGTTTAGGTTTGAAGGCACCCAATTTAGATATGTCAGTACCTCGATTTTTCTGAGGTTTACTGTTCCCCAGTAATTAATAATTTCACCGATTGTTAGATAATCAATGCAGTGTATCATGAATAAACATAGTGGATTGTGAGCAACATAACTCAATAGAATACAACAGAAGGAAAAATACGTGTCTTTGGAGTAGAAGTATTGTTTTGTGGTGCATATATAACTATTTTATTGAGCTATGGTTTGGTGGTGGTGGTTATGTGCCGTGGAGTCAGTTCGGACTCACAGCGACAGAGTACAGGGTTTCCAAGGCTGTAAATCTTTACGGGAGCAGAAAGCCTCATCTTTCTCCCACGAAACGGTTGGTAGTTTTGAACTGCTAACCTTGAGGTTAACAGCCCGACTCAAAACCACAACGCTACCAGAGTTCCAGAGTTGAGATATGGTTTATATACCATAAAATTCATCCTTTTATACATTCGCTTGTTTTTAGTATATGGTATGATTGGCCTTTCTCCCAATCCTACAGCACCTTCCTACAAATCAAAGACTCCTTGCAAATTTACAAACCCTGACAAGTTTACATGGGTTTATTTGTGCTTGGTTACTAATCTGTTTTAGAAACAAGCAAGCCCAAGTAAGCCTGTGCTTACCTTGCTTATCGGGTACCTCTGATCTCTAAGGTAGTTTGTGAGATTGAGGATCCCGAGAAATAGTGAAAACGGGAAGAAACCAGATCTCACCCTTTAGCCCTTTAAGAGGAAGCTGTGGTGAAAAACTTTCGATGCCGGAACCCAGCTCCTCTGAGCCTGGCGATTGGTCTCGTCTCAGCTGCGCTTTCCTCTTATTTCGAACTTCTTTAAATTCGCAGTCCGGCCTCTAGATGTGCTGGAGGAGATGGGACCCTCTTCTTCCAAGAGCCTAGGGCTTCCCCAGCCTCCAACCCCCTCGCTCTTCTTCGGCGCTCCAGGATCCCTCCTGGTCGTTCTGATGCTGAGCGCGCTGCCGGCGGCTTACGGTGAGAAGGGTTGGGGAGGCATCCTGGCGCAGTCCGGCAGCGAGTCGCCCCGACTTGCGGTGGAGCGCGGGCCGTAAGGTGTTGATTTAAATCAGCTAAGCATCACAAGAAGGCAGATCCGTTTTGGAATTGTCCATTCAGACCAGAAATCTTGGATGCCTTTGTATAAGAGTCGCGTGCAGGTTTATAAAGAATTATGCGCTGCCAGGTGCAAATCAGGGCGGAGATGTTAAAGCGTTGCTGCGCAAGACCTTTACCGTTGTAACTTGGACTGGCGGTGGCAGAGTGTGGCGCTAATTATAGTGGGGGTGAGAGGTGGGAGGAGAGTGAGTTTGGAAATTCCATAAATCTAGATGATTCTAATCCTAGAAATGTATCTGAGTCTGTTTCCTCGTTTGTAAAACGAGAGATAGTGGTAGTTGTACCTTATAAATTTGCTACCTAGATGGTCTAAAAAGCTATCAAGTGTCTGACAGAGCCGGTCACATAATCAATTTTTATTCCCTAGCCATCACCAGCGGCTCCTCAGAAACCCTATGTAGGGGCCCTCTGAGTTGGAATGGACTCGCCATTCACAACAACACAAGAAGCCCTGGTGGCTTTGTAAGCTAAGCCCGGGGGGCTGCTCACCACAAGGTCACAAGGTCAATGGTTCAAATACTACTCAGAGAGAAAGACAAGGCTGTCTGCTCCCTTAAAGACATACAGCCTTGCAAACTCTCTAGAGCAGTTCTACTCTGTGGTATGGAGTCGCTATGAGTCTGAATGGACTAAATGTCAGTGGGTTTTGAACCCATACCTCTACACTTCTCACAGAGGTATTGGACAAGCAATCCTTGGGGAGGCTGCCTACCTAGTATCATCAGCATTGAGCAACTACTTTAAGAAGCATTCTTTGCAGGGCACTTAGGGTTAGAAAGAAAGTGAAGATTCAGAACTATCAGGTGTAACTATTTTCAGGAGAGAGGAGACTTTTTACATATCACCCCATTCTAGAGAACTGATTAGCACAAAAGAAGTCCAATTATACTATGGAAATTTTGAGGCCACATCTTCTTCCTTCCTCTTAACTTGAAATGTAATATCAATTTAAACCCCTCTCTTCTTATTCTCCCCAGAAGTCTTCCTTGGTGCTTAGACTCAAGAGCACCTTCAGTTAAAGGGACAGTTTTGATTCTTCTGATCCAGTCTTTTCTCAACATCATAGGGGTCATTCCTCTCTGCATGGCTAGCATCTTTCATTCTTTCTCTGATTGTCCCTTCTCTGCTAAGAAGGATCCCTGGTAGCACAGTGAGATAAAGTTGGTTCACTTACCAAAAGGTCCGCAGTTTGAACCCACCAACCTACTCTACATGAGAAAAATAAGGTAGTCTGCGTCCTTAAAGGTTTCCAGCCTTGGAAATCCTATGGAGCAGTTCTACTCTGCCTGATAGAGTTGTTTTGAGTCCCAAACAACTTAAGAGCAGCAGGTCTGGTTTGGTTTTCTCTACTAAATAAATAAGGAAAAATCTACAACCATTGTTATTAATATTTTATAAATAGACGTGAAGGAGCCTCTCAGGTAGGGAAACGAATCATTGACAATGGGTTTGGTTTTTTGAGTTTTGCCACTTCCCAGCTGAAGGTCTTGGACCTGGCAAGTCAATTAACATTCCTACCCTTTAGTGTTCACGTGTATAAAATGAAGCTAATTAGCATCCTATCGGAGTTCTGGTGTGGCGCTGTGGGTTAATACGCTATACTGCAAAGCCGTTTGAACTGCAAAGTCGGTGGTTCAAGCTCACCAGTCACTCCTCGGAAACCCTCTACAGGGTTGCTGTGGGTCAGAACCGACTCGACGGCACTTAACAGCAACAACATTTGAGAAGGTAATTGTGAAATTCCATGTGGTAGTGCATGTGATAGTGTTTTGCAACCTGAAAAACCCCTTGCAATTCTAAGGAAGTCAGAGGACAGAACCTAAAGGCTACCAAAAATCTCACACCAAACCCACTGGCCACAAGTGGATTCTGACGCCTAGTGACTCTTTGTATGGGACAGAAAGCTTCTAAGACTGTAAATCTTTATGAGAACAGTTTCATCTTTCTCCTTCTGAGGGGCTGGTAGGTTTGAACTTCTGACAAAGTTTGAACTTCTTGCAGTTAGTTGTCCCAGTGCTTAACCCACTGCACCACCAGGACTCCTTCCTGAAATATAAAAAAACAACAAACCCACTGCCTCATAGTGACCCCCTATAGGGTTTCCAAGGTTGAGAATCTTTACAAGAACAATCTTATCTTTCTCCTGTGGAGCAACTGATGGGTTTGAACTTGTGGTTAATAGTCCAGTGTTTATCTACCTTGACTCCTTTTCTAAAGGTTATGTGGTGGTGGTCATTTCCGACTCACAGTGAACTTGTATAGGGTTTCCAAAGCCTATACTTTATATATATATATATATCTTTATGGAAGCACAAAGTAGGCTCATCTGTCTTCTGAGAAGCAACTGGTACATTCGAACTACTGACCTTGTGGTTAGCAGCCCAGCTTATAAACCACTATTCTACCAGGACTCCTTAAAGGCTATATGTAGTTATTGTTAAGTTGTTAAGTGAATTCCAACTCATAGAGTCCCTGTATAGGGTTTCTGAGGAGCAGCTGGTGAGTTTGAGCTGCTGCTTGGTTCACAATCCTGTGCTTATCCAACAGCACTACACCAGGAGTCCTAAGCACCACTTAGGACTTAGGATGGTATTTAAAGTAGGGCTGAATTTCAGCCAAACTAAGATAAAACCAGGGAGGTAAACTTTCCTTAGAACAGTTAACCATACAAGAGCAATAGGACAGCGTTTACACGGGGAAAGTTCAGATGGCAAGGATGGGGAAGAAGGGCAAAGGACTGTGGAAACACAGAGAGGAAGTAGGAAGAGTGCTGTTACACTGTGGGGAGGGTAGTCAATGGCACAAAACAAAATACATTTAAATGATTGAATGAAAAACCAAGTTGCTCTGTAAACATACACACAAATCTCAAAAATTAATCAAATAAATTAAGATTGGGTAGACTCTGGCGCCCTCATCTGGTCCTTGTGTTAGGTCTTGGTCAGGTAGTCCTTCTGTGAGACAGGTTACAGGGACAAAAAAACAAACAAACCCAAAACACTCAGGTGGATTTGGATTCATAACAACTCAATATAGCGTTTCCAAGACTATGCATGACCAGGGCACCTTTGATTTCTGTGCATTGCAGTGTATTTCATTCTAAATAACTCAAATGGGTAGATTTTTTGTTTAGATTACTTCGTTTAATCTATAATAACAAATTTTCTCTAAAGTAACTTCAAGAATATTCTGCAAGGAAATGCTGAGTGAAGATCATTCTCATGATGCCAACTCAAGCAAACGAAAATGGCATAATTAACATTCCTCTTCACCCCCACACAGACTCAAACACACACACACACATATTTAAAGTTTTTGTCAGAGATATTAAGAGGAATCATTGTCAGTGTAATCAGAACCAACCAAAATTTGACAAGAAAATGATTTGAAATACAGCTTCAACAATTATGGTGTTGTCCACGGTACTTTCAATATTCTCCAACACCATAACTCAACTATATCAATTATTTTATGGTTTTCCTTACTCATTGTACAACTTTTGCATGCATATAAGGTTACTGAAAATACCATGGCTTGTGTCAGGCACACCTTAGTCTTCAAACTGGCATCTTTGTTCTTCAACACCTTAAAGAGGTCTTGTCCCTAATGCAAATCTGAATGGTTTGAAATTAGGAAAGGTGTGCACCAGGGTTGTATTCTTTTACCATACTTATTCATTCTGTATGCTGAGCAAATAATCTAAGGAGCTGTATTATATGAAGAAAAATATGACATAAGAGTTGGAGGAAGGCTCATTAACAACCTGTGATATGCAGATGATAGGAACTTGCTTGCTGAAAGTGAAGAAGACTTAAAATACTTACTAATGAAGATCAAACTTGACAGTCTGCACAATGTGGGTGGCATTAAAATGTAAAGAAAACAAAAATGCTCACCACTTGACCAATAAATAACATCAAGACAAATGGAGAAAATATTAAAGTTGCCGAAGACTTCCTTTTGCTCTAATCAACCATCAACACTCATGAAAGCAGCTGTCAAGAAATCAAATGGTGTATTGCATTAGGCAAATCTCCACAAGACTCTGCACACATGGGGTTGCCATAAATTGGAATTGAATTGATAGTAAGTAAAAACAACAACAAGGAGCTCTGGTAGCGTAATGGTTACGAATCAGGCTGCGAACCACAAGGTCAGCAGTTCGAAAGTACCGGCTGTTCCGTGGGAGAAAGATGAGGCTTTGTGCTCTCATAAAGATTTACAGCCTTGGAAACCCTTTACAGGGTCACTATGAGTCAGAACTGACTCCACGGCACATAACAACAGCAGAAACATACTTATTTTATAAAATGACAAGCTGAAATTAAAAATAAATAAATAAATATATATATATATATATATTATATATATATATATGGTGCTGTGATAATCCACAGTTCACAAGGTTAGTTTGAACTGCAAGACTGGTGGTTCAAATTCCCCAGCAGAAACCCTATACAGGGTTGCTGTGAGTTGGAAGTAACTATATACAAGTATTTATCTCAAGAAGTCTATATAGTAAAGAGGAAGGAAGTTCTTTTACATGATGTGTAAGATGTATAAACCTTGAAAATGTCATACGGAGTGAAATAAGTCTGTTGCAAAAGCACAAATGCTGGATGGTCTTACTTGAAATAAGCAAATATATAGAAATCAGATTATTAACAGTTAACCAGAAAGTCCTGGTGTGGCACTTGTAGGATAAGCACTGGATTGCAAGGTTGGTTTGAACTGCAAGGTCACCTCCTCCGAAACCCTATGCAGGGTCGCTATGAGTAAGATGCAACTGAATAGCACTTAACAACAGGGTGAGAGGGAGGGAGAAGGGGGAAACTTTGATTAGGGGTGTATTGTGTTAATGGTGTTGGAATCTTTTGGAAAACAATAGCAATAAAGTGGCACATTCTGAAACTGTAATCAATGTCATTGAATTGTAAATGTGGACGTTGTTGGCCTGGCAAATGTTTTGATATGTATATTTTCACCACACATACAAAAGTTTATAAAAAATGGAGAGTAAAGTCAAATCAAAGAAAATATCAGTAAAGATAAAATAAAGATCAACAAAGTCTAGAGTTTGTTTTTCAAAGAACTAATAAAATTGATCATCTCTGTCTAATCTGCCTTCTGTAATTTGAACTAATTAGTATGAGTTGTGCAGAGGAATAATGGTAGAAAAAACAGAGGAGAAGTGACCTCCAAAAATAAAATGATACTTTCCCAACAGTTATTTCTTTCTGATTAGATATTGATTGATTCTAAATGATATTTTTATTACTTTAACTTGAATCTACTAGGATCTGAGGGTATCGCTGAGTCTAGTAGTTACGTGTTATATTTCATTTATTTTGGGGACTTGGTTTTTCTCCTTGTGTTGAAATGATTGACTGCTACTGAGAGCCAGAGTAAAGTCTCAAGAGTCCTCTCACCGGTCTGTTTGATGGATCTCTGAAAGTGAAGACAGATAGTGAAATGCAGGGTTGCCTCCTGCTACACAAAACAGTTGCTGTTGAATTGACTTTGACTTCTGGCAACCGTGTACGAGTAGAAATGTACTCCATTGAGTTTTCATTTGCTGATTTTGGGTGAGTAGATTGCCATACCTTTTTTCTAAGGTGTCTCTGTGTACTCTTGAACCTCCAACCTTTCAGTTAGTGGCCAAACACATTTAGGGATTCCCTTGGTACACTTGTCATTGTTGTTAAGTGCCGTAGAGTTGGTTCCGACTCACCTATCCTGTATAGCATTTCCAAAGAGTGGCTGGTGAATTTGAACCCCCAACTTTGTGGTTTAAACCAACCTTGCAGTCCACTGCTTAATCCTACCGCCCCCCAGGATGGGATAGATAAAGCTTGAGCACAGGTACTTTTTCTTTCTTTTCAAGAAATTAAATTACAGTTTTATTTATTATTATATTTTAAATATTTTATTGTGAAGTTTTACAGAGTAGATCATCATACACTTTGCTTCATTACAATGATTACAATTCCCTCTATGTATTTACCTATATTGACTTTAACTATTGCATTCCTCCCTGTGTCTCCAGCTACTTTCATCTTTCCTCTGATATTGTATATTGCCTTATTGTATATTGTCTTCCCTGTCACCATGCCTGCCCTCTAGCCCATGAATAATTTTCCCTCCCCCTCTAATCTTCATAAATTTGTTCTTTCATCATGAAAACCTTTTCTTAACTTTTGTAACATTGGTCTCATACAATATTTGTCATTTTGTGATCAATTAGTTTCATTCAGCATAATGTCCTCCATCTTCATTCATGTTGTGAAGGGTTTCATAGATTCATTGTACTTAGACATTGCATAGTATTCCACTGTGTGTCTATACCAAAGTTTGTTGAACCATTATTGTGTTGATGAGCATTCAGGCTGTTGCTTTCTTTTTGATGTGTCTCTGTAGACAGCATATTGAAGGATCCTGTTTTCTTATCCATTCTGCTCTCTGTCTGTTGACTAGTGCATTTAATCCATTTATATTTAGTGTCATTATCTATAGGTATGAATTGATTGCTGTTACTTTTCTGTGTATTTCTTTGTGGTTCTCCTGGTTTCTGTATTCCACATCATTTCTGTGCTGACTTCATTTTGTTTCTTGGTTTTATTTTCATTTTCACTTTGTTGTGTTAATGTTTATTACATCTCTCAGATTTCCTCTTTCTTTATTTTTATGTGCAGATATATTCATTATCTTTTATGTTACCCTGTAATTTATTGCTTTTTCCCCTACTTAAAACAGTCTATTTTGAAATCTTCTTGATACCCTTTGAGTACAGGTACTTTCTGACTGACTAAAATTTGAAGCTATGAAAGCCCAGATCTAGCTTAAAAACCTTCAAAAGAGGAAGGACTTTTTTTGGATGGTGACTGATTTTTTTTTTTAAAGCAATCTTTTCACCATTATTGAAATGTTATCTTCTGTAATCACATCTATCAAGTATATTCGAGTCCTGGTGTGACGCTGTGGGTTAATGCGCCAGACTTGCAAAGCCATTTGAACTGCAATGTCAGTGGTTCAAGCTCACCAGCAGCTCCTTGGAAACCCTATACAGGGTCGCTATGGGTCGGAATCGACTCGACAGCACTTAACAACAACAACAATCAAGTGTATTGAAAAGAAAGAGGAATTGGAGTTTCTCAACTAACTCTGGTGCTGCTATGGTCTTGGTTTCCAGGTCAGTGTCAGGTCCCAGTATGGCTTCCATTTGCCAAGCCTGTCACTCCAGTGAATAAGACTGAGTTTCCCATTGGGACATCTTTGATGTATGAATGCCGCCTTGGATTCTACAAGAAGTCATTCCTTAATACCTGCCTAGACAACTCAACCTGGTCTATCAGAGAAAACGTCTGTAAACGTGAGTAACTCTGGACTGCGAACTCCTCTATGTCAAATCAGACAGCCATTAGAGTTCATTCTACCAAATTTTGGAACTAATACACATATGATTTAACAAATTTGCCCAGTACATAATGAGTGTGAGCATGTCTGCCTTCTGGTTGGAGACATGGGATGGAGCTGTAGGATAAGCACAACACTGTAACCAAAAAATCAGCAGTTCAAACCCATCAGTCACTCCTCAGAAATCCTATCCAGGGACACTATGAGTCAGAACTGACTCAAAGGCACTTAACAACAACAACAAATAATGAGTGTAATCATATCTTCTTTCTGCTTAGGCTTTCCAGCACCTTTTTTATAAATTCATTTCATGAGGAATGACCATCACAAGGCAAGATTGAAAGAGAATCACCATTTACTAGGGGTCTTTCATATTAATGACTGAGGCTAATGCATGACTTAGGGCAGAAAAGAAAAGTATCCTGAAAAAGGAGGAAGAAGATCTCAGCTTTTGAGACTTTTGAATGACAGTATATCAGTTTGGTAATAAATAAACTTTATTTTTCTGGAAGACTCAGTGTGGGAATTAGACAGATGTGGACAGGTGATGTTTTTGAAACTCATGCTTACTTATTAGGTGCTTAATAGTGTTGTTGTTGTTGTTGTTAAGTGCCGTCGAGTCGGTTCCGACCCATAGCGACCCTGTACAGGGTTTCTGAGGGTGTAAATCTTTACGGGAGTAGAAAGCCTCATCTTTCTCCCGCGGAGCGGCTGGTAGTTTCGAACTGCTGACCTTAAGGTTCACAGCCCGATTCGTAGCCACTACGCTACCAGAGCTCCTTATAGTGCAGTGGTTATGAATTGGGCTATGAACTGCAAGGACAGCAGTTCGAAACTACCAGTGGTTCCCCGGGAGAAAGATGAGGTGTTCTGCTCCCGTAAAGGTTTACAGCCTCAGAAACACTGTACAGGGTCGCTATGAGTCAGAACCAACTCCATGGCACTTAACAATAATGACAACAATCTTAAAGCAGTCTAATGAGTTTCTTAAAATGATAACTTTTGGGGAACCATTAGAATTACAAATGCTCATCAGGAAGGTACAGTTAGGTTGGTATTTTCCATATCAACAAATATTCAGAATATTCCACAGCTACTCCCAGAATTATGCTTCTTTCTTACAGGTAAAAAATGTGAACTTCCTCCAGAGCCCAGGAATGGCATTGTACAGATACACACAGACCTCAACTTTGGATCAACTATTTCTTACACTTGTGATGAAGGGTGAGTTTGGCAATAGCATTGTTTGGAATGACAGTTCTACAGGCAAATAAAACTATCTCTAAACCATGGTCTTAGAAAGGAGACACCTGTGCGTTGAAACCTAGCAATAGGATTTCTAAGTAAGGATGGTAGCTTGAATTCAAGCATTTAACTCCCCTTGGAATTATCAAAAACATATTTTAAAATGAGGTAAAACCGTGTATCTGTGCTGGAAATTAGGGAGCGGTGCCTACTACATGCTAAATTAATGCACCTAAAACCCAGTGATATGTTCATGAGGTGGGAAGGAACTGGAACAAATGGAGCAAACACTAGTTGTCACACACAAATATCCTTACCTCAAAGCAATACAAGCTAGAGATGGTTGACTAGGTGGGGGAGGTGGGGGAAGTGAGAAAGGGTAAGCTGTTGGGTATTGCGATGTGGTGGGCAAATTTTACTTGTTTACAGCGCCTCTTCAGAAATGCATACAGCACAAGAATCTTTCATGGACTTTTTCGTGGCTGATCCTTAGGGAGACAACCAGTCTAGGAAAGAAGTATATATATTTAACATTGCTTTCGTTTTATTAGTTATTGCTTACTTGGAATACACAAAAAATATTTGGCATGTGAAAAATAAAACTAGTCATGAAATGAACTTCAGTGTATGCACAACACTTTAGGAAGCAGGGCCAGCGTCTTTGAAGCCTCCTGTGTGGCCCTCCCCTTCCCCAGTCCTCCTCCTGGACCTCCTAAACTCTCCAGATTTAACCAGCATCCTCAATTCTGCATTTTTCATTCTCTTGCATTTCTTTTCCATTTTCCCCTGATACATACACCTAATGCCTATATTTTTAGCGTTAACTACTTTTAAACTTCGGAGTCCTGGTGTGGCGCTGGGCCGCAAGATAGGTTTGAACCTATACAGGGTCTCTATGAGTCAGAAGCGACTCATCAGCTCTTAACACCAACAACTTTTAAACTTTTATGTAAATGACATGATATATACAATATTCTGAAATTTGTTTTTTGTTGTTGTTTAATATTCTGTTTCTGACATTCCTCCGTGTGGCTGTGGTGAATTCGTTTTCACTTCTGAATGGCATTCATTCTCTTTTATGAATATACAATTTATTTCTTCCTTTATTGTTAGATATCTGGATTGCTTTTAGTTGTTCAGCTGTTTTGATTGTTTTTACTATTCAACGAATTCTTAATATAAACATATAGTTGTTTTGCTTTATTTTTACTGTTCAAAGAATTCTTTACACATATATATGCATTGTTGTTAAGTGCCGTCGAGTTGTTTCCAACTCATAGTGAGGCTGTATAGGATTTCGGAGGAGCAGCTGGTGAGCTTGAACCACTGACCTTGCAGTTCAAAACGACTTTGCAGTATAGCACATTAACCCACAGCACCACACCAGGACTCCATATATGTGTGTGTGTGTGTATGTATATGTCTCCTGGTATACATGTGCGAAATATTCTCTAAAACAGTTTTTAAAACTTATTTTATCATGATCCACAGCTAACAAATATATTTTCTCAGTACATTCACATACACATGTACCACACAGAGAGGATAGAAATTAAAAGTATCACATACCTCTTGCCACTTCTATTCAACATTGTATTACAGATTCTAGCCAGGACAATTAGACAAGAAAAATCAATAAAGTATATCCAAATTGGAATGGAAGAAGTAAAACTATCCGTATTGTCAAATAGCATGATTTTTGTATATCAAATATCATAAGTAACTCCATATATATACACACACAAAATTATTAGAGCAAGTAAATAAGTTCAGCAAATTTTCAGGATGTAAGAACAATATATAAAAATCAATTACTTTGTTTTACGTTAAACCAAACATGAATCTAAGAAAATAAAATCACAATAGTATTAAAAAGAATAAAATAATTAGGAATAAATTTAACCAAAGCAGTGTAAGGCTTGTACAATGTAAACTACAAAGCATTATTGACACAAAATTAAAGAGGAGCTAGATAATTGGAAGAAAATTGTTAAAATAGCAATAGTCCCCAAATTGACTTACATACTTAACACAATTCCTATCAAAATCCAGCATCCTTTTTCATAAATTGACAAGTCAATCCTAAAATTTATATTAAAATTGAAGTAACTTAATAACCAAAAGAATCTTGAAGAGAATAAATATTTGATCTCAAATCTTACTATAAACCTACAGTAGCAAAGAGTGTGTGTTTATGGCATAAGGCCAGACACATAGCCCAGTGGAATAAAATGGAAAATTCAAAAATAAATACATATACTTACAATCAATTAATTTGCAACAAGAACGCCAAAACAATTCAATGGGGGAAGACTAGTGTTTTCAACACAGGACCCTGAGGCACTTGAATAGACACATGCTAAAGAATGAAGTAAGACTCCTACCTCACACCATATACACAAAGTAACTCAAAATGAATCAAACATGTAAATGTAATTAAAATTATAAAGTTCTTAAAAGAAAACATACATGTAAATCTTTAAAAAATTTGAATTAGGCCATTGTTTCTGGGATACCAAAAATGCAGGAACCAAGGAAAGCTTATGTAAACTGGATTTCATCAAAATTAAAGTCTTTTGTGATTCAAAGGCATTATCAAGAATAGGAAGAAATATTAAAATCTAGGTATGATAAGGATCTGATACCCAGAATACGCAAAGCGCTCTTACAGCTAGCCAAACAATAAAAAGTCAGTCTGGTTTTTTATAATAGACAAAAAACATCAACATTTCTCCAAAGAAAATATACAAATGACCAATAAGCACATGGAAATATGCTTAATATCTTTAGTCACAAAACAAAAAAATCAAACTGACGTCAGTGAGTCGATTCCAACTCATAGCAACCCAATATACTGTTTCTGAAACTATAAATCTTTACTGGAGCAGACAGCCTCATCTTTCTCCCTTGGAGCAGCTGGTGGGTTTGAACTGTTGACATTGCAGTTAGCAGCCCAACATGTAATCCACAGTGCCACCAGGGTTCCTTGTCATTATTGTTGTTAAGTGCCCTCGAATCGATTCCGACACAGAGCAACCCTGTATAGGGTTTCCCAGGAGCAGCTGGTAGATTTGAACTGTCGACCATGTTGTTAGCAGTCCAGTGCTTATTCTCCAGCACCACAACAGGACTCCACTTCACACCCATTGGGATGGGTGTAATCTAAAGGGCAAATAATAACAAGTGTTATAGCGAGGATATGAAGAAATTAGAACCCTTATATGTAGCTGATGCCACTTTAGAATAGTTTCACATTTCCTCAAAAAGTTAAAACACAGTTATCACACGATCCAGCCATTTCATTTCTGGATTGAAAACATGTCCATACTAAAACTTGTACATGAATATTCATAACAGCATTACCTTAATAAATCCAAATACCTATCATAGGATGTGTGGATAAACAAAATAGTATATCTGCATAATGGATTATTGGTGATGGTTGTGTGCCACCAAGTTGGTTCCAACTCATAGTGATCCTGTATAGAGTTACTGAGGCTGTAAATCTTTACAGGAGCAGAAAGCCTCATCTTTCTCCTGTGAAGCAACTGGTAGATTTGAACTACTGACCTTGTGGTCAGCAGCCCAGCTTGTAACCCACTATGCTACCAGGGCTCCTTGCTTGGAGTATTACTCAGCCACACAAAGGAAGGACTAATATATAGTATAGTATGAATGAACCTTGGAAACCTCATGCCAAGTAGAAGAAGCCTGACGCAGGAGGTCACATATTATATGATTCTACTTGTGAAGAGTCCACAGTAGATAAATACATAGAGACAGAAAGTATACAATTGTCTTGGGAGGGAGGAATAGAGAGTGACTATGAATAAGTACAAGTTTTCCTTTTGGGATTGATGAAAATGTTCTGGAGTTAGGTAGTGGTGCTAGTTGCACAGTCTTATGAATATACTAAACACAATCAAATTGTGTAAAAGGATGAATTGTATGGTATGTAACCCATATCTCAAGGAGCTCTGGTAGGGTAGGGGTTACAAATCGGGCTGCTAATCTCATGGTCAGCAGTTTGAAACTACCAGCTCTTCTGCAATAGAAAGATGAGTCTTTCTGCTCCCATAAAGATTTACAGCCTCAGAAACCCTGTACAAGGTCACTATGAGTCGGAACCAACTCCACTGCATATAACAACAACACAAACCATATCTTAGTAAAAAAGTTATATGTGCATTGCAAAACAGTACTTTTATCCCAAAAAACACACAATTTTCCTTCTGTTGTATACCATTTAGTATGCTGCTCACAATCCACTGTGTTTATTCATGATACACTACATTGATTATTGGATAATCACTGGTCTGTTGTACTTCCATACAAATTTTTATCAGGATTGCATGAAAATTCTACATGAATTTGCGGAGAATATATAGCATTATAATAGTCTTCAAAAGATGTACTGTCCATTTATTTAGGTTCTTCGTGTGTGCCTCCCAATAGAAATTTTCATTTTCTCTGTAGAAGTTTGGAATATCTTTTCAATATATTCTTTTTTTTTGCTTTTTGTAGTGGTATTTTTTTATTATGATGAATATTTGATGGGGCTTCAAAAAGTCTATAGAAAAATGGAATTAAAAGATGATGAATTTTTTTCCACAAACTTTTTGTATGTAAGTGTATGCATACATGAGTAAATATATCTACATATGTGTATACATATATATGTTGTTGTTAAGTACTGTCAAGTCAGTTCTGACCCATAGCAACCCTATCTAGAGTTTCCAAGGAGTGGCTGTTGGGTTTGAACTGCCAACCTTGTGGTTAGCAATCTAGTGTTTATCCTACTGTGCCATACCAGGTATAAGCAGTCCAATGCTTATCCTACAGAACTACACCAGTACTCAATATAAGCAGTTCAGTGTTTATCCTACAGCATCATACTATGAGCCATTGTGATGTTGTAGAATACTGCTTACTGAAAAGTCGGCCATTCAAATTCACCAGCCACTTATTGAAAACCTTAT